TTTTTTTTTTTTTCAACTTAATTAGTATAATTTCAACATCCCCAATTTGTTTCTTTTGAATGTTGTCTTAATCAAGTACCCTATGATTCATGCATGGGTGCAATAACCACAGCGGTAATCCTAAAGTGACAAATGTTAAAGAAGAAAATTAGCCACTTGTTTTCATCAACATATTTCAATTAAAAGCTGCTTATGGCTAATTACTCAACTCTCACTAGGAATCTGGTGTACGTAATCATTTCTGTTTTATACTTCTCAATGTTGTTATTAGCATAAATATTATACTCAAAATAAGACAAACCAACATGCCATTATCCCCAACTTAATCATTCTCATAATCAACCAATTTCTTCTATCACCATGGATTTCAACAGGGAGAGCTCAAGAATCTCATCTATGGAGCAGCAGCCTCAAATTCCATCTCTCCAAACAGAGAAGAAAAGAGGCATAGGAATAGCAGCAGAGAATGGAAGGAGATACCTTGGGGTGAGGCAAAGAGCTTCAGGGAAATGGGTGGCAGAAATCAAGGATTCTTCACAGAAGCTGAGGCTGTGGCTGGGAACTTTTGATAGAGCAGAGGATGCTGCCTTGGCTTATGACACTGCTGCCAGGCTCCTGAGGGGAAGGAATGCAAAGACAAACTTCCAGTACGATGGGGTCAGCAATACCTATCAAGACAACTGCAGCCTGGTGGGGAAGAACCCGAGGCTTTACCAGATTATGCAACTCGCTGTCATGAAGAACCATGCTAGATCCAACTCCATGTATTTGAGGGGTAACAGCGTTGAGTCTGTTGATTTCGACACCGATACCCTGGTGGAGGAAACTATATTTTGTTCGTCAAGTTCTTCAGATCATGATCAGGTGGATACGAACAAAATATGTCCGCTCTCGCTTGGGAATTCTAAGGTTTATTCTTCTGTTATTGTAGCTCCTTCTTTTAGTGCTTCTTTGAATCAAGGAAATCAAGAAAAGAGTTCTCAGGAACATGAAATTTAGCAGGTAGTTTGAATAAGTTGCAGTGTTGGTTTTCACATGGATTAGTTTTAGATTGGATATTTTTGTGGGGACAAAAACATTTCTACCGTCGCATAAAGCTTGCTTGCTTTTCACTATTTCTGTATTTCATAGTTCTTACTAACCATTAACAGCCTGCTTACATCCAAATACATGTATAATCTTATCTCACTGCTAACACTTGCAATGGTAATATTCTAATAAATTAGAAAATGCGTTCTGATTCACGTTTTATCTAGTAATCGTAAAGTCGTAACTACTATTGTAATACACTGCTGTGAGATAAAACTGTATATTTTTCCGAACTTATATTAGTCATTCACATCTCATAATTACGTTATTTTTAAGACTGCATTTTTGGCAGAATTACTGAAAAATGAAAGGTGCGACAATGGGTAGAGAAGCCTCCCCCAGCGAGAATCAGAAGTTAATTAGTTGGCTCAAATAAATCAAATAGCCACTTGAATTAACACATTGGCTCTGTTAATGAGAGAACCTACTAACACACTTCCACAATCCACCATGTGTTATAGACCTAGCCAGTTCACCTGGCCACATCCACATCCCTCTCATTGACTGGTAATGAAGTGGGGACAAAATCTCCCATCAATAGAGAGCTAAAATAATTTTGTGGAATAGCTTTTGCCTAAGGACAAAAAAGTAAGACATAGAGACCAAAGCAAACAATACTTCATGGGAGACACAACTAAAATCCTGCAATCAAAGACAAAGGTTAAGGGTCAGGGTAGGGTTGCAGTAGGGATGGGCCAGTGGAGGAGGAATATGTTGAACCTAAACCAAGAACAGGTGTTAAAGACAACATAAGGACAAATAAGGCTCATTTATATAAGGAAGCTAACAGGACTAGAGAAAGTGAAGTCTATCAAAGAATCAGAGCAAAAGAACATAATTTAAGTAAATTCTCTTACTAAGGGAATCCAAACCAAAAAAAATCTTTCACTTAGAATGACAATTGACGAGGGAATTCAGTATGCCAAGTACAATGGGACAACAATTTCTAACCAACAACAGAGAATATGATAAAACAATAGTGGAATATCCTTAGCTGGGTCATTTTTTTCCCTGGATTCTTTTTTCTTCCTTTTGGGGTTGTGGCTGAAGCTCTCACAAACATCCATTTTCTACATTTTTGGTTGGTTCCCAAGAATCAGTTTTCCATGATTTGATTTCCAATAATATGTTTGATACCAAATTCCAAACTTGTTCACATCAAAACAGTAGTGATTCTTTCACAAGTTGGTACCTGTAAAGTGTAAACTGTTTGTTTTCCCTCTCACTTTAATGCACTGATGATGGTGGCACGTTCCCCACCTGAAACTTCATCTCAACAGATACTTTTTACGAAGAAACAACTTTTGGTTACCTGCTCGAAGAAAATGACACATAACAGGCAGAGAATTAATTCCCATTATTATAATGTAATACAACTAGAAAAAGGGGGAAGGGAAGCGAAAATGATAGATCGACAACATTTGTTCGGATTGGCAGGACGTGTGAATTAGTATGCATCCACTCGTTTGATGCCAACGTTATCAATGAATTATTGTCAAAAGCATAACTGCTAAGTGCTACCATCTTCCCCATTTCTTTGGCCATTACTACCATGTAATACAACCACAAAAGGGAAATGGGAAACTGCTAACACCATCATTTCCATTTCCTTGGACTTGGGGATTAAAATAGTGAATCCTCAACAATAAAGGAAATTGTTGGCCAAGAAAAAACTATTAAGGAAACTTTTTCGGAATAGGGATTTGGAACCATGAAGCCTCTTATAGAATCTCATGTCACAGCAATAATTTAAATCAATGGAAGGAATTATTAACAAATACAATATCATGAACTGCCAACATTGCCAACATCAATTGGCATTAAACTTTGCTATCTAGTTTCTCAAAGCAAAACTAGAATATAATTTAGCAATCCATAATTCATCTTCAAGATATTGTAACCTAAGCTATGGTACTAAGGACTTAGAGGATGAAAAGGAGGACAGATGGGGAAAAAGTTACAAGGAGATGCTACAATGATCTCTATTTCAATAGAAAAGATACCCCGGAGGCAAGATGAAGCATAAAACTGCGTGAGATATGAATTCTTAGAACGGTAAGCTTACTTCTGCATTATCAAAGATATTGCACAGACGAATTACAAAAAGTCAAGGGTTTCAAAGACTAAGGTCTCATAGAATGACCATTCAGCGCACAGTGCATTAGATGAAGAAGATAATCAAGACTCCATATGAAAAACAACCCAAAAATGTTGGGACAGAAAGAATTAGAATTGATCATGGTCAATGGCTGCATCTATCATCATCATAAATAACTTGCTATTTTTACAATGAAAGGAAAAGAATTTATTTACCCTTGATATGCATCATCCTCATCCATAATGCATTAATTAAATGCTATAAGAACATGCTCTTAACCGTCATAGAACCCAATTATTCACAATTCATCCACTCATATCAGATCAAATGTTCATATCATTAATAAAGGAGACATATAAAAGGAGACAAAAAAAAAAAAAATCCTTCAAAAAAGTAGGAATTAATTTAAAAGAAAACGAAATCAGTAGACCAGGTTGGATCCATAGCTGGAAAACGACAAGAATGTCACTTTTGCTTCCCTGCAACCAACTACTATTAGCACGTTAATCACTGAATGGAACCAAAATGAAAACAAGAAATTATTGAAATAGAATATATCTAGAAAAAATTAATCATTGTTGGGTCCTGACAAACCAAAGATGGGAAGAGAGTAAAAGTAAATAAAAATTGAAACTTTTAATCTTGAAACAGTTTCTAAGCAACCAAACAGCAGAAACAGACAACATTAACAACTAAAATCACGTAACACCCATAAAAAACAAAAGAGAGAAAGAGAGTGGGGGAGGGTAAGGCGCTGGATGCAGAGGTTTATCGACCGATTCATGTGCTTGTGCTAATTCAAACAAGATTCCCAGGAAGAGATCGATGAACCGCTGCCTCCAGTGTCTTAACCCTCCCCAGCAACCCAAGATTAAGAAAAAAAAAAAAAAAAGGAAAACAATAAAACCCCATTCCCCTGCTCCCCTCCCACATAAAAAAAAATCAAACCCAGAAACAGAAAAAATAAAAATAAAAAAAGAAGCACAGATCTGAATACCCAATATGCATCTAATTTCATCTTCCAGTAAAAGAGAATCATATGAATATGGAGATTGTGGATGTAAGAATCAATCACCATTGTTGTACCATCTGTGTCTGTGGTGC